TATATGTAAAATTCCGTCCTAAGCTGACTTGGGCTCAACACGTGGCTGGGCCTACTAACCGTGGGCTTAATAACCAGCGACTACTGTATCAAACAGGTACAAGAAATAACTATTTCGTGCATGTTTTCCCTAAATATATTTGAATTTATAAAGGCAGTCAAAATAAATGATAACAAGGCATACTACTTAAATAGCCAGGTTCTACAATAGATACGTTTTGTTAGTGGTCAGAACGAAGCTCGTTAAAAAGCCCGCATCCTATCATGACTGAAATGGACCTCAGAATAGACTACACGATAGTCACTATCACAACTTGAGCCAATACGAAAGAGTATCAGTCTTTTGCATATGTTGAAAAGTTGCGTGATCTTTGGCATCTATTGTAAACGGAAAACTTCCAGAGAATCATGATATATCTTAGTAGTTCTCTTCCCAGTTTCTCTGTTAGTTAGCTTAATCTGGGCGTCAAAGGCACGGCTATTTTCGATCGCTTAGGCTGATAGAACGCATGTGTCCAAAATTACACATGGAAACCACGGCCGAATCAGACGCATTGGTTACCATTGGTTACTGAAGTAGTACTTCTAACGCAGCTGCTCTACCTCAGGATATTACAACGGTAGATACCGCTAATCAGTCACATAATAACAGATCGATGATGCATTTAATTTATTGTTCGGCTGCCGAACTGTTTCTGGAATGCAAGATCCTGTCACGTAGCGTTGAGATTTCCTTCCTTTGCTGAACCATGGATAAAGTTAGTTCTATGGCATATCTCGTTTCTGTCTATTTATTGGTAGATGGTATGCTGCCACCCGGATAAGCACTGAATAGATGTTCAACCGTAGACCACCGTGCGCTGTGTATCAGCCGATACAGGTCTTTAAAATAATTTTAGTTCAATTTTAAACTGGCATCCAGTTACAACTCACCTCACATACACTCTGCTGGATACTCGAAGGTATATTATTGACGCATATACACAACCAACACTGACGAGCCCTATCCCGCATGCAGCGGCTGAATATCAGCGAAAGACTCGTTGGAGGTGTCAACTGGTGTCTCCATTTACCTCCATAAGAGCGAAGGACGAAACAAGACCTAACCGAACGTAAGGATTGCAAACGAAGAAGATCCCACGACGAGCCGGCCAGAAGAGAAGACAGCGTTGCCAGGACCCTCGATCGGGTGACAAGTTGCCTCACTAATTGCTGTACACGACCCTTGCTCCACGGACAGCTCATTAGCGTATAGCACTATAATTGCCCCCCGACTCCACTGACAGCAAATCGCCCTCCTCCCCTATCCCTTTTGATACCTGTTTCTAACGCCATAACAACCTGACTATTTCTGACAGGTGATTGGCCTTTGTCCACTATAATTACCGTCGTTTTATTGTTACTTCTCACCTCTGAAGATGAACTCCTGCAAGAGTTCGAAAGCTCAGGACAATAAATCTATTGATGCGGTGCTCGACAAGTGTTCTTCCTTATCCACAAATGCACTCCGTTCCATACGAGGGATTCAGAGTGACGACTTGTCAGTTTAAAAAAATCTCTCAACTGGTAGGAGCCAGACATGCTTGACCCTTAATTTTATCCACAGTAAAACACTCCTCACTCGACGTTTTACATAAAAAGGACAATGTTTTTTTTAAATTCCTTTATTCCCATCACTGGCTACCGTCACCGTCACTATCATCAACCACCCATTACCCAAATGAAGGTCATGGCAATAAGTCTGGCTACGTGATGAAGTTAGATAGATTCTGAGGTTGATAGAGGTAGGGCTCTAGGTCTGACGGATACACATCTTTCGGGGCTTTTATGACGTCTGGTTTACGTACATAACGGGCATAAGACAGTAGCTTGTAATTCCAGAAGTCGCACTCCTGCGTGCGATAGTTAGACTTGACAACCAGCGTTAGACTGAATTCCATGTATTTGCCAGTCGCCTGATATGAGGGCTAGACGAGATCAATTTTCTTTCCTTCATCGTCAGATATTGACGGATCTCCAAAAAGAAGAGGTAGGGTTCGTTATGATAAATTGATTTTTTAGTCGACAGCATTATAAAGTGGCACAGAAGAGTGGACAATTTACCCATATTTAGCAAAATTTCCCCAGTACTCCATCACTTTAGCGCTCAGTTGTCTCTCTTCCTCAGTGTAGTTATAATATTCACTCTGAAATTTCTTAGAAAATGGTCTCCCAAAGACGTAGTCGATTTCATAGCCGTGCATAGCACCTGTCCACTCATAAAAACCGTTGTTTTGAGTTTTTGTGAACAAAAACGTAACTGTAAACGTCGGCATTGGTTAGATTTGCAATGCGTTGGGCAAATTTCTGCGTCCCACAGGTTAACTAAATGTCACCGTAAATGCCATCCAGCAGCTTCGTAAAGTCTTCCGAAATATTCACCTTTGATGTATCGTCTATTTTTTATAATCTGCTGAGTTCACTTCTGATGTGGTCATCGACTCTGTTGTTGAGATACTCCTCACTCATAAACCTTGCTGTAAGTAGGTTAAATGTGGTCAAGTTTCCAAAATCAAAAGGGCCTTTTGGCATGAACACTTCGCCAGTAGTTTGATTGAAAAACTCCACACCCTTCAGCCCGCCATATAGATGCCACAGTCCATAGATAAGCCAGTACATGTCCCTATTGGCCATTGTGCCTATCAATAATTTGGGTGCGTCTGACTCGCTGGTTCTTTTTTTAAACATCGCTTCCGGGCATTTTGGCAGAAATACACCGTCAATTGTTGGCGCGAATTCAAATAAGGCGTATATTGCATCGTTTTCATAAGGTTTGGTGTCTGCCTTCATTTCCTGTTCCAAATATCGCTTTCGGCGTCCGCTCTTGCATTGTACACCGTCCAGACGTTATCTCGGAGATCCTTTGGTTTGAGTGTGGTATTTTGAAGACATTTAACCTGAGCCTTCAATGATTTGCCAGTGCATCCACAGGCCTTGACAAACTAAAGACAGAGTGAATGAGCGAGGAGATTGCTAGAATTCAGTGGTAAGATGACAATTGAAGCAAACTCTACTTTTCTTTAAAACACACGCTTTACAGAAAGCTATTAAAATAATGTCTTGATCGGAAATGAATTCGCTTAAGTTAAGACGTGTCGCAAAGCGTTATTTCCTAATGAGCATACGTAGACCTTCTGATACCATGATAGAGAGGGAGAAAAAGGAGGCATTCGTTAATATGTCAAATACTACATTGTCAGTGGAAACCAAAAGCTACGCGTCACTCTAAGAAAATACCAAAACTGATTTAATTTCTACAGAGGACAGATAAAGGAAGGCATCCACTAACCGCAGCACTTCGCTCGTGGGCCTGCTATGGTAAAAGTAGCGCCCATCGGTCGTACAGGCTGGCACTTTGCATAATCATCTTGGAGAAGAGGGGTTTGGACCCAGGCGCAGGGTAATGCAGACTGACACTTGCGCTTCCAGTCGACTGTCCAAAGAGCGTTACCTTGTTTTGATCACCTCCGAATGCCGCTATATTGTTATGCACCCACTGTAGCGCCATCTGTTGATCCTCCAGCCCCATATTGCAGGCCGCAAAAGGTCATTCACCGTCCCCGGCGTCGTTTCTTTTTCATAGCCTCCTCTAGGCAGAGAAAGTCCAGGGCGCCCACTCTGCACTGCATTGAAACCACCACGACCTGCTCCCGGCTAGCAAGGACCTTTCCGTCATAGAGGTCAAGGTTCGCCGATCCCATGATGAAACCGCCGCCGTAGATCCAGACCATAACGGGTAGTGTTTCTGCGGACCCCGGCTTGGCTGGCGTCCAGACGTTCAAGTAGAGACAGTCCTCGTCCATGTCTGCCTCATTAACGGACCACATGTGTGCACCGGGATTTTTACTGTCGAAATTATAATATGGGGT